GGTCTTAGCTAATTAATATACCGTAGTAACATCATTAGTAGCCTACTGAGGATTGTCATTTCTTTTGAAAAATTAATATTACTGCTGTTTTGTAGTGGTAGTTCTTGGTCTTTTACTGTTTTAATGACTCCACTAGAGACAGAAAAATAGAATGTCTGTATTTTAAATTAAATTTTTTCATATATACCTAATCCTTTTAATACAAAGATGTCCTCAGCATTTTAGAATGACACATAAAGTCCAGGACAAAGATACTTTGGCTACAACACACAATATCTACCCACTGAGGCACATATACATCTATGAGACTAAATAAGAATGCTTATTTCTGACATGCTGATGCAGCAAGATTTAAATGCAACAGCTACCCACTGAGACACATATACATCTTTTACAATACATAAAATATTTATTTCTGATATGCTGATACAGAAAGGTTCAAAGTTTATTAGCAGGGCTTCTAATTCATGCAATTGTAGCTTGGTCACATATTCTTTACAGACTTAATTATCAGCTTTGTTTCTATATATTTTTATCTATGTGAGACGCATTGTCAACTGATTAAAAATTACATTCCTCACATAAGGAAGCCAATAGAAGGATCCTGCAATCACATACCTTCTCATAGTTTCATGCAGGGTGCTGGGAGTAAGATTGTTTACTTTAACTGACAAAATCTTTTCTATGGAAATGTCAAAAGGTAGAGACACAGAGGAGCAAATATTTGCTCCCAGTTACTGCAGTGCAGCCCAGGAAAATCTCAACTGAAGACATTTCCATGGTCTAATAGACACTAATGGATCACCCATAGGAAGTATTTCCTCTGCAGCAAGTGATGCAGAACAAGAACTTATGGAAGACGCAGCCCAAGGGCTACTTGATAATTGGACCCTTGGGACATGCAGTAACATGCTGGGCAACTGTTTTGTGGGAGGTCTTGCTAATGCTCTGTTGAACTCTGCACAATGTTCCTCCCTAGTTAGTCTGTTCTCTGCTTCCTGGGACATCTTCAAAATAGCAATCAGTTCCAGTGACACAGTTGAGGATGCCCTATGAGACAGCAGGGCAGTAAGAAGAATAGGGACAAAACACAAAGTGTTGTTCAAAAGGGAAGAAATAAAAATAAAGTCTGTTTGTTTTAGCAGAACTTAATTTTAGATTTGGCCAATGATTGTGATTTGAGCCAAAGTAATTTATTAATGTGTCTTCAGTTTCCTGTTCCTTTCAAAATAGGTATAGTTTCTGCCTGTACATCACTTAGTCCTTTAATTGCACTGACATATTGTTCTTTTTACTAGCATAAATCAGTAGGAAAGTCTTTGAAAAAGAGGGAAATTGTAAGCCTATCTCAAACAGATGCTCTAGTGAATATAATAGAAACCCTAATTACAACTCAGCATATTCTCCATGGAGTTGCCTTTAGAAAGGACTTGGAAGCTGCAACTGTTACAAAAAATGGTGGCCAGATTATTGCCAATGGAGTATAATACTTATTTTATGCTCACTGTGCTGGTTCTTGGTACCTTTCAAGGATAGCCAGGATACATCAGGCAACACCTTGCCAATATTGAATTTGCCTATATAATGAAAACATCTAGAGAGTGTCTATCATGTGTCATGTATTCTCAGTCCATATGGGGTACATGTACAATGACCATCGTATCTTGCAAAAATAAAGAATAAAGCAGAAAAGGGGACAAATCTGAGAAGTTCATAAGGATAAAAAATAGTTCATATTTGTAACTTTTATTTTTCAAAAGAAAATTCAAGAGAAAAACCAGAATATGTAATGCTCCTCTCCCTACGTTCCTGAAAATGAGCTTGCAAAGTGGGTTTATAGGCCTCATGCAATTAAGCACACTTTGAAGTTGTACTTGACTCCATCTCTCTATGAATTGCGCAAGACTGAAAAAACTGCTTCCTAGTGCTCAAGCTAGCTTAAATTGATTATGGGTGTCAGTAATCTTGGTTGATTTGTGAGGTTTTTTTAAATACTGCTTCAGTTATTTCATGTTGGCTTTTCTGTGAACTACTGGAGTCTTGGAGGATTGGAGAAGTCTATAAAATACTGTAAAGGGTGTAAATAAATTAAATGCTGATACAAGTCTATAGATCTCATGTATATCTGATCCAAACTGAAGCAGTTTTATGCCAGTTTCATTTTACAGTTTCCATTGTCACACATTCATTTTCTTTCCAAATTCAGTGTGTTAATGTATAAAGATATCCTTGACTTGGGGATACTATCTTTAAAAGAATGCCTTATCCCACAAATTCTTACCTGTTCACCAAATCATCATAATAACAATAATACAGTAGAGTTGGAAGGGACCTTGGAGGTCTTCTAGTCCAACCCTCTGCTCAAAGATGAAACCCTCTTCCATTTCAGACAAATGGTTGTCCAATCTCTTCTTAAAAAACCGCCAGTGTTTGAGCACGCACAACTTTTGGAGGGAAGTCATTCCACTGATTAATTGTTCTAATTGTCAGGAAATATCTTCTCAGTTCTAGGTTGATTCTTTCCTTGATTAGTTCCCATCCTTTGCTTCTTGTCCTGTCTTCAGGTGCTTTGGAAGACAGGTTGACCAGAATAGATTGATCATCAATTCAGAGTAGTAAATGATAAAAGGGGAGGGTAGAATATAGGACCCAGATGTTGTTGGCTATCCAGAAATAGTCCTTTTTAGTTGTTAGATTTATATTCAACTCTCCTCCAGGAGCATCAGACTTGGGTGGGAATTTCCCTTGATTCATCCCCCGCCCCCAAATAACAGCAATTCCTGCATGGGCTGTAAAGGAATGGCTGGCCCATGGTCAGATAGCAGACTTGGATAATGGTAGTTCTGAACCAAAGTTATCACACTCTTACTCTGCCATCTTAATTACTCTACCACATTGGTTTTCCAGGAGTAGTTCTCCATTTAGGGATAACTCCTCCAAAAAGAGTGCTAACTTTATCATCTTTTTGGTGTCATGAAAAGGAAATTTCGTTCTATCACGCTTATCACTGATTGGAGTCTTAATTTTACACTTGTATGCTGCATGAAAGTTTTTAATTGCAATAAAAGCTTAATTGTCCAAATTTAGCAGACTTCAGATCCAACAAATTACAATTAGTTCAAATTGAATACCTAAATAATGACTGTTGTTTCTGAAATAGCCCAGACAAATGACATAATTTACATAGTTTGTATTAGTTTATGCTATACATATAACTAATGTACTTAGTGTTTTTTCATTATGAATATATTTTGTGTGATGAAGCAAATGGTATAAATTGATGCAGTTGCCCTAAAAGCTTCAATTGTATGATGATGTAAATGAAATAAATTGATAACATACATTCGTAACATGCATTGATACAAATAATGTCAATTCAGATTTAACAGTCATTCAGAATTAACTGAAATTGCTTCCCCCAAATGATCTGTTTTTATTAGATTAAATCTTTGGTTAAAAACATATATTCTACCCTCTCCTTATATCATTTACTACTCTGAATTCTAATTATGACTCTTGCATATTTTAATTACTAGAATGTTGTTATTCTGATTGAAACTCTGAACTTCTGAAAAGCAGAAACAGTTTTGAAAGGTAGTCTGCAATAGTTAAAAATAAAATTGCAAAATGAACCGTATACGTTTTGTAAAGTCTTGCTGAATAATTTAGTTAAATTGTATTTTTCCAAAAATCAGATTTCATATCATACTGATAACATTGAATAAAAATGATTTGGGAAAATGTATCATGCAATAAATCAACTTGGTATAACCAAGCCCTATGTGTGATACCTTTAAGGAGAAATCCAGATAGCAACAACTAGGGTCACTCTAGAATAGTCAAGAGAAAAATATGTATGTCTGTATGTATTTAAGCAACTTAGCTATCTATGTATGCCTGGTTGTTCAGCTCTTCCCTGTTAAATTCAAAAGAACTACTTGAAGACATTAAAAAGCAACAGCTATATATCCCTGAAAAATGATGTTTATGTAACAAATTGTGATTACTATGGATTAATGAGCTACCAGATTGATTATGATAAGGGTATATTGTGTAATCAAGCTGTCATGATAGGAATACGTAATAAGGGGAGCCAAATTGCAGGGAAGGTGGGGGAATGGAATGAGCTGTGGTGGCGCAGTGGTCAGAATGTAGTATTGCAGGCTAACTCTGCTCACTGCCAGCAGTTCAAGTCTCACCAGCTCAAAGTCTCACCAGCTCAAAGTCCTTCCGAGGTTGGTAAAATGAGTACCCAGATTGTTAGGGGCAATAAACTGACTCTGTAAACCTTAGGTCTATAAAGCACTATGAAGTGGTATATAAGTTTAAGTGCTATTTCCATTGCTATTATCTCTGAACATGACAGAAGAACAAAAGGCATCATGGAAGCACAATTAAAGGATAAATGCCTATTCAGCATCAGATGAGGTTATTATAACTTCTCCAATTGTATGATTTATTTTTCTCACATATCTTTTTACCTTTTGAGGAAAAAAATTAAGGATGCATACGAAAAACACAAGTAGTATGAGCATAATATATAGAAAACATGACCACTTTTATCCTTTCTCAACTTTCTTATATGATAAACCAGTTACTCCCATTCATTCCTGGGAAGAGAGTGAAAACTTTACTTACTTACTTACTTACCTACCTACCTACTTATTTCATCTTTTTTCTTATGAGTGGCATAAATAGGTGTGATCTTAAGTTATATCCACAGAAGAACTGTAGATTCATTCTGAATTCTAATATACACATGTGTTCATGCTCCATTTTCAGTTCATTGCATTGGCATGAATTTAATCTCATACACAGTATTTATTCAATCTAATTATGTTATTATTAACATGAGCAAAAGCATTTTAATAAAAACTATTGGAATGGCTTTTGCTCATTTGTTAAATCAATAATAGTTGAACTCATCATTGCTGTGTCCAATAGTATATGTCATTTTTCATAAATCATCCATTTTCATATTCATCAATCATCCATTACAGCTGGAGAATGGAAACCTGTTGTTGGACATAGAGGAAAATCTTGGTAGAATCACTCAGGTAAGCTAATTCTCTGTTAGTTGTGAAAATAATTGTTCATAGATCTTTCAAAGGTCTAAGAAGACATTGATCGCTTAATATAACAAGGCAGAAAAATGCTGTTTTTTAAAAAAAATATGTTGCATTTAGGAAAAGCAATGGAATATTTTTTTTTCATGTTATATTAAAGCACATACCAGTATAACATGACAGATGGGAACTAACAAGATTCATTGTAAAACATTATATGTTACACTTTATGGAATATAATTTTCCTACAATGCAACCTATGAATGGTCAATTCTTAATGATTTGGTGACATAGATTTTAAAAGAATTCTAGGCCTCCAAGAATTTTATTTAGATTTGAATTATGACCACTTCAAGTAATGAAAAATGATCTACTTTTGCAGATGACCAATAAACGTGTCTATGTAATAAAATATTGGACTATAGCTTATGATGGAGTAACATGAAAATGCCTGCAACTGCTATCTTTTTTTGAAGAAATGTGAGAACATAACCCTTTAAAGGATATTAATTAAACTTTCAGTCTGATATCTTCAAGGTTTGGGCTGCAATGCAGTTTTAAAATGTTTCTGCATTTCTCTTAAAAACAGATAAAACAGCCAGAAAATTGTCCATTCATAAGAGAAGTTGTGTTGAAACATTATAAAAAGTATCATATTGTAACTTTATAAAATTAAAAATTGTTTAAAATGTAAGCTCTTTTATAAGTTTGTTGGCTGGCTCAGTGGCAGAGTTAGCATCTCCTGAACATAACATACCATGTTGCATATACTTACATAGAAACTTTAAAAAAAATACTGAGAAATATTCGTGTATACAGTCTCTATTCAGTATATAATACAATGTGTTATGAAAAAAAAAAAGTTATGCAGAACAGTCTAACATGAATTCAAGATTATCTCAGACCAAGATATGAAAAGTGACCTACTCAGGCAAAAACAAAATAAGTAGTATGAATAATTATTATGATTAATAGGAAGCAATGAGACATTACAAAAGAGCTATGGATTATATACAGATATGAGAAGGATCTATGCTACAAATCAGATAGAGAAGTGAATTAAAGAAAAGTAGTAAGGGAGAGATCACGGGTGTCCAACTTGATCGCATCACGTGATATATTGAGCGTTTTGGTTTGTGGAGCCTGGTGGACATGGCCTGCTCATGATTCATCCAGCCTGCAGGCCGCCAGTTTGACACCCCTGGTAGATGTAAAACAAAAATAAAGAAAAAAAACAGGAATAAGTATATCTTCCCCGTCCCTCTTCTGTTTGGTGATGCCACCTAAATTGAGGGAATATTGTGAGGAGCAATTGAGTGAGATTGTGGGAGTACCACTTCTATATTTGGGACAGTGATTACATTCATTGACCCGGTACTCATTAACATCAGCCCTCTCCCCAGCTTAGTTTATATATGAAAGAAAATCTGCAAGCTCTCTCTACAAAGCTAGAAAGTCAGCAAATCTCCAAAGGCTTTGAATCTTTCCAGAGCTATTCAAAGATATTATTTTTCTTTAAAAAAAAATTATTTAATCTATTTGAAGATTCAGTTCAAAAGGGTGTTTTGGTCTTTGAATCAAGACTTTTTTCAAATTTACATAGTCATATTTTATATAATATTAATATGATATCCTTGCTTTTAAATGCAATATATACATACCATTCTTCAAATATTAATGGTCTTAAATGATTAGATTTAGTGTGTGAAAGAATTAATGAACTTGGTTTATTTTAAATCAGCTTGGAAGTTGTGGCAAATCTGTTTCCAGAGCTCTGTATGTTCAGGAGGAACAGATTTACCATTCATAATTCTCTGATTTTGAAAATTTTCTATTTTCCCATTTGCTTTAGAGAAAAAAAATCCTCATGCTTAAAAAAAGGGTGACCAAGTAACAGGCAAAGAAGTAAACATAATTCATGTTTGTAAAATATGGCATATAAATTCATTTTTCTATTTACATGGAACATAGAATATTTACTGAGTGACAGTAGAAATGTTTAATACATAGACTTAAATAAGACATCTTAGATCTGAATGAATGAAATATTCTTATTAAATACTTTGTTCATTACATAGTTGAATGTGCTGACAACAAAATCACACAAAAATTATCAATGGAAATCAAATTTAGCAACCCATGGAGGTCTGGATTTGGAGTTACACTCAAAGTTAAAGTGGAAAAAAAACACTACAGGCTGATCCAACTTTGATGTAATGTCCTTCAAACAAGTCAAAATGAGGCTCAGTAGTGTGTGTGGCCTCCACGTGCCTATATGACCTCCCTGCAATGCCTGGGCATGCTCCTGATGAGGTGGCGGATGGTCTCCTGAGGGATCTCCTCCCACACCTGGACTAAAGCATCCTCCAATTCCTGGACAATCTGTGGTGCAACATGGCATTGGTGGATGGAGCAAGACATGATGTCCCAGATGTGCTCAATTGGATTCAGGTCTGGGAAACAGGCGGGCCAGTCCATAGCATCAATGCGTTCGTCTTGCAGGAACTGCTGAAACACTCCAGCCACATGAGGTCTAGCATCGTCTTGCATTAGGAGGAACCCAGGGACAACCGCACCAGCATATGGTCTCACAAGGGGTCTGAGGATCTCATCTTGGTACCTAATGGCAGTCAGGCTACCTCTGGTGAGCACATGGAGGGCTGTGCGGCCCCCTAAAGAAATGCCATCCCACACCATTACTGACCCACTGCCAAACCGGTCATGCTGGAGGATGTTGCAGGCAGCAGAACATTCTCCACAGCATCTCCAGACCCTGTCACATCTGTCACATGTGCTCAGTGTGAACCTGCTTTCATCTGTGAAGAGCACAGGGCGCCAGTGGCCAATTTGCCAATCTTGGTGTTCTCTGGCAAATGCCAAACGTCCTGCACGGTGTTGGGCTGTAAGCGCAATCCCCACCTGTGGACGTCAGGCCTTCATACCACCCTGATGGAGTCTGTTTCTGACCGTTTGAGCAGCCACATGCACATTTGTGGCCCACTGGAGGTCATTTTGCAGGACTCTGGCAGTGTTTCTCCTGTCCCTCCTTGCACAAAGGTGGAGGTAGCGGTTTTGATGCTGGATTGTTGCCCTCCTATGGCCTCCACGTCTCCTGATGTACTGGCCTGTCTCCTGGTACAGCCTCCATGCTCCTGCCACAGCTTGCATTGATGTGCCATCCTGGATGAGCTGCACTACCTGAGCCACTTGTGTGGGTTGTAGACTCCGTCTCATGCTACCACTAGAGTGAAAGCACCGCCAGCATTCAAAAGTGACCAATCCATCAGCCAGAAAGCATACGAACTGTGAAGTGGTCTGTGGTCACCACCTGCAAAACCACTCCTTTATTGGGGTTGTCTTGCTAACTGCCTCTGCTTTCCACCTGTTGTCTATTCCATTTGCACAACAGCATGTGAAATTGATTGTCAATCAGTGTTGCTACCTAAGTGGACAGTTCGATTTCACAAAAGTGTGATTGACTTAAAGTTACACTGTGTTGTTTAAGTGTTCCCTTTATTTTTTTAAGCAGTGTATATCTTAGTATATGTAAGTACATTGGCAAAACATTAGGCTAGAAACCTATGCAAATACAAATATGCAAATCGGGGAAACGTTTATATTAACTATATTTTATTATATATCCATATTAAGAAATGTTCAAGTTTTAAAATATGTTCATGTTTATGTATAAGAGCAATTAAAGAAAAGTTGCTCAGATGTGAACAGCTGAAAGCAGGCATAGGCAATCTGATGCCCTTCTATTTCAGTATTTATTGGTCTCAGCCAACATGGCCAATAAGGACTTGTCTAAATTGTAGCTTACGAATATCTATAGCATACTAAGTTGCCTATTCCTAGTTAGAGAAAACACTTGCTTGCAAATATTTGAAATTCAGCAATGTGCTCCAAGGAAAGAATTTCTGCCTATCAATTCCTCTATGTAAGATGTTCCATTGATCCAGTGATCATTTTTCAATCCTCATGGGGCTAGCAGCTTGGCTTATAGTTTTACTAGGATCACACACATATACCATTGTTTATGAAAAATAAATAATTGGTTCTGTGACTGTCCAGTTCTCATTATTGCAAAACGCATTTTAATTGCAATTATCATAGGAATAGTTTCTGTTAAATTCACATGGAAGCAGGCAATATCCTGATTTATTTCAAATAAAATAAGCACTTGCAAAGAAACTTATTAGTGTTGAAACAGACCATGTATTTACATTGTCAAATTAATTTTCTTAATTTCATTATTTACATGCTAATGCAATTCCTTCTAGTTCATCAGTTTGTCGTATCATCATGCTTTCTTTACATCTTTCCATAAATAATTCACTGTGCAGTTACAATTAGATTAAACATAGGTGTGCTACATTTGCAAATTCAACTGAAGGCTGAGTTTGCTATCATTCAGAACTAGAGAAACATAACAAATTTCACTTTGCCAGAGATGCTTGCCTTTGCAATAATTATTTTCTTGTAATGGTGAGGAATATCTGAGTTTCAACTTCAGACATAACATTACACAACGGGTTCTTTACCTCTGAAGCCACAATTTATATAATAGCATGCTTGTAACCTGATTGTAAAAATACTGGATGTTTTTATTCTTCTTAGAATAAAAATTTAATTAAGCAAAGCACTGCTTTATCAAAGCACGCTTGAATTCTAAAAGCTGACTAAGTATTTTCCTATAACAATTGGAAAATAAATCCCTTGTAAGCAGTAGGGGTTTTCTTTCTTCTTACTACACAGGAAATGGAACTTCAAGACATGAGTGGCATCTTATTAAATGAAGCTTTTTATAATGCTATGGATCATCATCCTCTATCCTATCTGGTACTTATATAAGGAAGCTCTAGTAGCATTTTCATTTTTTTTCTGGAAAAACTAGTAACTTTCCCTTTAAATAGAGAAGCTATTGGCATTCTCTTGGATGGGGAGAAGCCAGCTGAAATTCAGCCTCAGCGTCGAGCCTCCAAGGAAGA